TCGAGTCGCGTTGCCACAGTCAAAATCTAGTGCTTTATATATCTACAGACAACAGATGACCTTGAATACTCTTGGTTAACTCGGATGTGCCATAATTACTGCCTCAGCTACGATTGTCAGAAGGAAACTTGTGACAAATGTTTTCAACTGATATATAATTTCCGTTCGGAAAGACGTGAGACATTTTCATCATCACCTTTTAAATGTCATTTTATCTACGGTACCTTTGAAACGGTGTGTCTGTTCTTGATCGTAGCGGGACCGTCTGTTCCGAAGACCAGCCGGCTATTTCCGCTTGGGAAGCAATTTCAAAGAAGCCAGAATTACTTAACCTATCTTGACAAAAAATCAAGTAGGTACCATTCCTCAAAAGTATATTTAAAGCATGGATTGACTAAAAGTAAGCTCTCAGTGTTAGGCCCCCGCCAGTCACGTGGGAGGAACATGTCTATTTTCCAGAACATCGCCCAAAGAACAGTCACCATATTTTAATCGGTTCAGCCATAAAGTTGAACCATTTGCTACTTAAGATTACTTACTGATTTTTTTCATGCTTTTATTTGTTCCTGTCTCTATGACAAAATATTGAACATACAGTCAGGAGGGTATTTCCTATTCAAACCAGGACAGATTCCAGTCTGGTGTTTTTAACTTTTGTTAAGCGTGATTTACTGTTTTTACTGTTTCCATAACAAACAAATGGACTCAAACTCAGTCTATCTGGTACATTTAGTTGTTTGTATATTGTTATTTATTCAAGTATCCATGACAACAAATTCGAAATGATTAAAATCAGTGAGAGAGTTGAGGGTATATTTCATGTCTCAACTCAAAAGATCTAACATATTTCATATATATTTCATAAATGTTTCATTATATAATTACTGTGGTAACAGTTCCAGAGCAAAAATCATTGACCGTATTGGTTATACTTAATTCTGTGTTTCCGGAAATATTCCCTTTTCTTGTTCATATTTTCTTATAATTTTATCTAAAATAATCGAAACCAATACTAACGCCTGTGCTCAGTTCTGATTTCATAGGGCATGACTCTTGACTTATGATCAGTCAATAGGTCTTCACCAGATAGACATGAGTTCGCTGTCTACATGTGAACAACGTGTCATGAAGTTATTTTCTCTTGTCTCCCGACATTATTGTTGGGATTTTGGAATGTTGCTAAATGTGGCATAAAGTGTACTCGCTTCCCTAACGCGTAGCAACTCGCTAAAGGTCAGCTACATTTCAAAACAGGTTTAGAATCAATTCCACTGACTGTTTAGAACAAATCCCAATACTGTTTCAGGGACTTAGGTGCTGCAGTCCACATGACTACGTGAATTATATAGTTGCCTCTATATTAGCATTTCCAAGTGAGTTCTAGAGTAAGGGCCTCTATGAGGTTGAGATTTATTTTCTGTTATTGTGACACAATAATCATGGGTTTGAAGATAATTTTATTAGTAACGAAGTCATTTTAATTTGATAATCAGGTGATGATCGTTCACTTTCTGAAACAGCGACCAAAATGGAAGCATCTGTATTTTAACATCCAAAACTGAGTTCCACGGGAGATATTGCATGTGTGAGATATCGTTTTGACAGTAGATGTTGTACAATGCCCTGGACAATGTTATGACGTCATGATTTTAATGTCACAATGCTATGGCATTGCTGCACTGCAAGAGATCTAATGACAGTACCGTGTTCAGAGATGGTCATTCTTTCATTGAAAACTCCCATTTCTGGTGTCCCCGCCGTGATGTTGCTGGAATATTGCTAAAAGCGGCGTAAAACCAAAACTCAGTCAGTCAGTCATTGAAAACTAGTGAAGAGTGATTTTTGATGATAAATAGACTCTCTAACCCTGGTGTCTTCTGACATCAAATATATCAACACTCTTTGATAAAAGTAAAAATATATATGTAACTTTATCAACTCGTATTGATATATTTGATATCAGAAGACACTAGGGTGAGATTTTCTTTTTACCTTAATTGTAAATGTTTCCCGTTCATATTGATGCAAACAAAACATATCCGATATATGAAAGAAATTAATTACATTCATTGTATGTGCCTCTTGAGATGTAATAATGCTGCCTTACAATGACTGTTTCCAGAAGAGAAGACGTCTACATTTGGAGCTGCTCTTGGAAAACCATTCCTTTTGTCAACAAGCTTATGGATATATATTTGTGACTGTTTCAAGTCGTTAACAGTAACCTTTCAGTGTGTTCGTTGTAATTCTTGCTTAACTCACATTAGCTATCTGCATCTGATGTGCAGTAATATACATGGGGTGTTGACCTATTTCAATACTGATGTGATAAAGTGCGTCAGCTGAGATGCAATACGAGACAGGTGAACGATTCATATTACCTCCCCTTTGCTCAAGGCACGTTCAGTAGCCATAAACACACATACGTTTAAATGAGAGATATTTCTAGTAGAGACGTATGATCGATTGTATCACTACCTATGTTGAGTTTACGTTGTAAAATGTGTTATTTTTATGCAGTGAAAGGTCTTGATAATGGTGATATGTTCCATGAAGTAACTATTACAAGTGAAAATAACCTTTCTTTAATCATAAAATATAGTTTTAAATACCGTCCCTAATACGTTACGGTCTTTATTATTAGAAATAGTATATAAAGCACTGTAACGAGAAGTCGATGTAGTTATTGATTGTAGGTGTTGCATAAGAGATTCTTTTCAGAAACAGTTTCAATTTTGTAAAATTCCATAGGGTTTTGGCAAAGGAACACAGAGTGAATTCCTCCGTTTGACTTGGTTCTGTAATGTCATTGCCCAGTATGCATTCAGTCTCCCTTCTTCAAGGGGCAGCGAGTGAGTGAGTGACTGAGTGAGATAATAGTTAACGTCACATCGGCAATAATTCAGCCATATCATTGGCGAGAACATTTGATATTGTAAAATGAAATATATGTATATTTAAAAATACAGCCGACGAAGGACAGTAAAACAATAAGAATATCACAGATATGTATGTAAAACTAGGTAATTAAATGTAAAACGTTTTAACTATAAGGAAGAAAATAATACTGTATAAAAATGGGCTATAAATCACCAATAACTGAAGGTAGATCACCATACAAGGGACCATGGGGACATTACTTTTGCTACCTGCATGGACCCTAGTTAGATTTACACCAACCCCCTCAGCCATTGGCGACAGAAGAAAATCTAGCCATAAATTAAAAGCACACATATTCTAAGATTTAAAACGTGGCAAGCCTACATTTACTCTAAATGTGTTGGGACTTCACGTACCCTCTCAGGAGGACAATAATTTTACAATACTTCAACCCCTATTTGAGGGGCACAGCCACTAACAATCGAAGTTGATAATCTAAACTACCAATTATTAAACCTTATCTATTTACAAAACATATATCAAAATTCATTTAACAGATCTATCTCTTTTTTAAAAAATCAATAATTAAATGATAATTAACATTACTAAAAGGTCCTTTACTGTTTTGACATTTAAATATCTATCCCTTATGATGGAACAAGGCAGCGAGCTTGATTGGATTCATCAGGTAAGGATACTACGTCAGATGGTACATTTACATGGCCCAGGTACACATTGAACAGAATGAGTCAACTTTTTGAACTAACTCTGATGTTTAAGTTGCTTTTAAATTGGCCTAGTCCAACATCTAAGTTGGTATGAAATATAAACTTGCGTAGCTGAGGTGTAGGACAAACAGCGCTGCTTTCAAATCTAAGCATTTAGCACCAAGTATCGCACTATTTAGCATGATCCACAGGAACAACAGTGGTAACACATTGTGTAGTTATATGTGAGTTTGTGTGTTTATCTACCCATTTGCTTGTTAATTAGTGTGTGGTTTTACACATCACTCAATAATGTTATATCTTAATTCAAGGACCCGTGAAGATCCGGGATAGAATAGGTCTTCAGCAACCCATGCTTGCCACAAAAGGCGACTATGCTTGTCGTAAGAGGCGACTAACGGGATCGGGTGGTCAGGCTCGCTGACTTGGTTGACACATGTCATCGGTTCCCAATTGCGCAGATCGATGCTCATGCTATTGATCACCAGGATTATCTGGTCCAGACTCGATTATTTACAGACTGCCGCCATATAGCTGGAATATTGCTGAGTGCGGCGTAAAACTAAACTCACTCACTCCACTCACTTTAATTCAAGCAATATTGAAACATTCGAATTTGGTCCAAACAGTCCAGTGAGTGGTAAAACATCTCACATCTGTAGTCAGTGCTACATATGACAAGAATACTGAAATGTTGAACGCTAATATATCATATTCAATTTTCCTTTCCTCTGTTTTGCTCCTTCCATATGTTGGCATCCACTATGGAATCTGCGATTGAAATTACTGAATTCGTTATTCTGTTTTCGCCAGTTTAGGAATAACATGTTCGCTTTATTTTCTAAGTGGATTAAATCAGACACCATATTTAGCATGTCAGTGGTTTCTTTTCCTTTGTAGATAACGTGTATTAACTACTTATTGAAGAAGGAATCCTTAATGCTCCTTCAGCAACTGTGCGTATGGTCACTGTAATGAAATTATTCACAAAACCCATCTTAGTACTTCAACTCATGAATATGTTATGTTCATCATCAGCAAACTTCATACTGGTTTCTGCAGCCAACCGACAAAGAGATTAAACTTTCGTGAAAGTAAATACATCCAAATAAACAAGCCATTCAAAACACTTATTCGTCTCTTTGAAATATTGATAGTTTAATAGTTCTATTTAAATAGTAGTACATTTCTCCTTTCTTGCATGCATGTGTATTTATATGTGTATTTACCAAATACGATTATTCAGCATTCATCGTCACGACTTCGTGTTGTTATGTGTTTTGCAGGTCTGCCATAGTCTTTATCTATGTACCTTATGGACAACACAACATTTGCAATACCACCTAACATGCAGTGTTTCCAGTTACCGTCACGGTAATATATATACAATACATAAATCACTATTTCAAAATTCAGGGCTGCGTTTGCTCAGTTTAGATGTTTTTTCACACCGGCTTCGAATTGAAACTGGCAGATATGCTAATGAAACTAAGGTTGGTAAATTATGTCAGCCCTTGTATGCAAAGAACGATATATTGAAGACGAAATACAATTTTTTAGTAGTATGTAATGTATACCAAGATCCAAAGTCTTTACTTTTTTGCCAAAGAAATATCATTTTGAATCCTACTGTACATAGATTTTTTAACATGTTAATGTCAGAGATAAATCCAGAAACTTTTAAAAAATTAGCAGTGTATGTTTATTAAGCTATGCGTCTTAGACAGTCATCATTTGTACATATATTGTAATATAACCGAACCGTGTGTTATTGTTTATATTGTATATTGTATATACTCTCTCATAGTCAATTGTAAATGTAGAATCGAAGCCTGCGGCCTCCACTACAAGAAATGAAGATTGATTGAATGATAAATACATAACATTCAATCGAAAGAAGTTCAATAGAAGTGACAAAAACTCTGATAGCTTGTGGAATAACAGGAAATCCACTGTGCATCCATTCTAAACCAATCAAATGTGTTTCGGTCTCCTTCTTATGTAATGGTGACACTATCACAAGCACTTGCAAAGGAAAGTGGCGTCTTTCATCTGAAATAAAAACAGTGAACTGGGGCATAAAATGTGCCCTGGAAGGCTTGAAAGCTTCATGAAAGACTTGAAATATATAACCTTAATTTAGGGCCTGTGCACAAGTCGTGTGCAATCGTGTAAAATGTAAGCTGGATTGGATTTCACATGTATTGATGTGACAAGTATGAAACGATTACGTCAATGAACACAAAATTGGACAAAGTTTAATAAGTGAGGACAGTCTGGGTGATAAAAGGAAATGCATTGTCCATGAGGCGATAAGCGTCAGCGTCCATCATCTTTTGTTTTCTACCTGATGGAAATTGACCTGTACCCTAAATGGTAACTGTGTAATGTGAATGACGGCTTGCTTGTTGTTTTTAGTTTGATACTATGACATATTCTGTTTGAAAAATAATAATGTAATGAATAATTATATAAAAACATCTCTTTGGGACTTTTTTATATAAAACGTGTATGAATTAAGACTTGATCTCGTCACTATATGGGTTGGAAAAATGCCGATGTGACGTAAAACTCAACCCAACTTATCATGTAATGGTAACACTATCACAAGAAACGTTTGAAAACATCATGGACATCTTGAATATCATAGTCCTAGTAAAGATGTATTGTGCAACCGTAAGCTGTAATTGTATGCTGTTTGAAGCTTCGTCAGTGCAAACAACTAGTAATTTTTAATGACATTAAGGGTAACGGTTGGATAATATTTATTTTCAAATGTAGACTGACAATGTGGAAGTACTCAGTACTGACTGATTAGCGAAATATCAAGTTTCCTTGGTAACAGGAGCAAAAAGAATATAGTCAAATCCCGATGAGCCGAATGCCGGTGTCTCGAATATTATGCATAACTCGAAGTACCTGTCGGTCCCGACCATTCCCTATTATAGTTGTCATCATTTGAATACCGGTTACACGAATTCGTCATATAAATACACACGATGACTCGAGAAGAAAATTTGGTCCCATGAGATCGAAGCAACAGCAATCTTGTATACATAAGCCGAAGTCAGTCAATGAGAAGTTAATTGGTGTAGCAAACTGATCCAATTAACAAACCAGCGCGGCTCACACCTTTCCGCCTTTGACGGGTGAGTTCAAAGGGCAGATTAGTAATCTGTGCTAATCAGACTGGAACTGATAAGGTGCCCCTATTAGTGATAGGGAAATCGATGGATAAACAAATGCTTAGGCGGAGGAATTAGGACTGGATCATCTTTTTTGCTGCTCTCATAGACATACCTATGTCTCGAATACATCGATAAGACGAATTTAGTACTTGGTCGCCAGAGATTCGACTCATCGGGATTTGACTGTATATGAACAGCACAAAACGGAGGTATGAGTGTCTAATTCATGACTCAGCACAAACCGTTCAAAACTCCTTATAATCACACAGGAACAACACACTCGTGATATACTAAACAATTAGTCGTCAGATTCAACATGATTACAAGGTGTCATCGGGTTCTTTTCTCGTGTTCCTCGACATGATTGCTGGAATATTTCTAACAGTGCTACAACGTATTCTAAATTTTATCAACAGGAAAATGCTTACTTATTTCGATACATATAATTGTTATGTTGAACCATTCAGAGTTTGGATGGGTTTTTTCTTTGTTTGTTCGGAAACCACTACTACCTGTGACACCCTTTAGTTTAACGTCCTTACAATTGCCTGACGGCATGTTATGAAAATATTTTTAGCCACATAACTTGTCGTAGTATACGATGACCACCCCGGTCGCCTCTTGAGACGTAGTTTGGCAGCGTGTGGGCCGGGGACAGTCGTAGATTAATGTTGAAACTATATAGAATAATTCGTAATAGAACAGATTATTTAGTCCCTTCCGTTGTAGTTTTGTAGCCCAGACTGCTTCATTCCCGATCACGATACGGTCCCCATCGTGGTCCAGTCACATTTGAGCTGCTGAAACTTTCTGGTAATGAATTAAGTAATTGACCAGGGTTCAATGGGATATCAGAATAGATGACAATCGTTAAATACTAGACACGTACGTGAGAGCAATGCTTTATATGGTCGAATGGATTGGCGTCCAGGTGTCAAGTTTGTTCACGCCAAAGGTATGGCGAAATCCGACAATTAAGATCAGCCCATGTTCGAGAGTAAAGAGGTCTGACCAAACCTATGCTGATCGCATATAGATAGGGTATAATCGATTCCAATGTTTCCCATCAGTGCTGTTCATAATATGAATCCCTGGTTTATGAGTTGACCATTTATCTGGATATGTGTTGTATATAAGACTTAATTACAATTTCACAAGCAGCATTTTCACTTCAGAATATTACAATGTTTAACATCCGTCTCTTTTTCTGCCGATTGTATTTTACAGTAGAAAAAGGGCACCAGATGCAGGAATGTCCTCCTTATATGAACCTCAACATTCTCTGAAAGCTTTGGTGAGGCTTTTAGTGCTCACCTCTCTATTGTTAAGAACCCGCAACTGACGTCCACTACCGTAAAGTAATTGCCAAGTGAGGCAGCTAATCAAATCAATTCTTCTGTCAACGTCTAGTTATCTCAAAAAGACATGAACACAGGAAAACATAAGAACAGCAGTTGTCGCCCTCGTTCTTCGCCATCTATGCACAAGAAGAAATTTAAAATGAATTGATTTTAATCCATTCAACAAGTGCTATTTTCCATCGGAATATATCGGTACATTCGTCATTTGATGACATTTTTCCCTGCTGTGTGTCCATATTTGTATTGATCACATGTCTGAGAAGTAATGTATGTGTCTCTTTTTCCAGGGATTGAACACATCCCTGGAATCTTAGCTATCCTCTACTACAAAATACAGATTAATGCCAAGCACAACATGATCACTTAAGGACGATGTGATCGTGGGCCATGTAGGTTTTAAGTTCGATGCCTTCTTCAACGTTGCCTATCTTCATCCAAGAGGGATGTGTTTCACAAGTTTCGCATCACCTCCAACTGCATGATAACACACTAAATTGGCGACGCACATCCAGAAACAAGTGAGCAAACTCTTGGATAAACTCTAATTAACTATTTTCACTCAGATTGCAAATGACCTAGCTTAACATCTAACTTAGCTGGAATTGGGAATTGCGTTGTTTGGCTCTAGTATAGTCAGTCTCACAAGCATCATATTCCCGTGTATGATCCACAGGGGCAACAGTGGACACACGCTGTACAGGTAGATGTAAGTTTGTATATCCATTTTGTGCTGTTTTGCGCAACACTCACCAATATTCATGCCTAATGACGGCAGTCTGTAAATATTCCGGTCTGGACCAACAAGTCCAGTGATTGATACCATGAGCGTATATATATCTGTAGTATCGGCATATGACCTCCAATTCTGAAACTTGAAACGTATTGGCTTTCTAACACCAGCACAATGTCCAGGATGTCAATGTTTCATTCTCCCTTGTAGATAGCGTTTATTAAATGATAATTCGAAATGGAATCATTAATGCTTCATCAGCTGTTTTACAGCTATTTCCAATGATCAGTACGTATGGCGATTTTACTGGAATTATTCACAAACCTCTCCCAGCACTTGAACTCATGAACCCGTACTTTATAGTTTAAAAATACAATAGTTGAGGTTCTTGAGAGGCATATAGAAGTTGGTATTCCAGTAAAGGACAAAATATTATGGATGTCACCTTCTTCTTTCTTCTATACACAACGTTCCTGTACTTTGTCCTTACCCCTTCATCGGGTGAAAAGTCGACATCCAAAATATTTTGCCTTCTAAATACAATAGTTGTTTCTGGCAATAAAACCCAAAAAGAGAATAAACTTCCAATAACTTAAATGGCGTATGTCACTCTAGTTTACTAGTTATATTGATACCATCAGGTGGAAATGAGGGGCAAGGAAAAGCCCCCAAAACGCTGTGTATAGAATAAAGAAAAAGTCGACATCCATAATTTTGCCTTCTAAATGCAATAGTTGTTTCTGGCAATAAAACCCAAAAAGAGATTAAACTTCCAAGAAACTAAATGGCGTCTGTCACTCTAGTTTACTAGTTATTTATTCAGGTGAAATGAAGGAGCAAGGAAAAGCCAAACAAACGCGGTGTATAGAATAAAGAAAAGTCGACATCCATAATATTTTGCCTTCTAAATGCAATAGTTGTTTCTGGCAATAAAACCAAAAGTAGATTAAACTTCCATGAAACTAAATGCACTCAAGAAAATAAAGTCAAGCATAGACACATTGTAAAATGCATACAACCCAATTTTCTTCTCTTTTCCCATGTACTTAAATGGCGTCTGTCACTCTAGTTTACTAGTTATATTGATACCATCATAAGTCCATTTGTTATATGCAACAAGGCATTTATGTATGTATTCACCAACTATGACTACTCAGTGTTCATCTTCACGACTTCTTGTTCTTCAGGATGCTTGTCAAAGTCTTCATCTC